GATGATAAAAAAAACCCCTCCACATCAGGTCTGGTGGTGGAAAAGTGAAAATGGGGACACAACATTATCATGGAGGTTATCATTTTATTTCCTGTTTTCTCCCAGCTATTGTAGCATCTCCCACTCTGTTGTCTGAGAATGTCTGAACTCCTGCATTAATCGTATTGCTCAATTAACATGTGCAATATCTCTCGTAGTGCAAACAGGAAGTGCATCTTAAATGTTCTCGATGTGAGAAGCTATAATTGTGCATAAAGAGTACAGCGCTTGCTTTTTAGTAGCATGGTGTGATTAGTTTTTGTTCTGTTACATCCTATTAGCTGCTGGCTATTCATTAGAATAATGCCCATCCCTAGGAGAGACCATTGTTTAATGCACATCATCAGTTCTAAAATAGAAACGCATGACTGTGCTGATGCCGCTGGCCAAAAAGTATTTCAGTACCGCTGCTTCTGCCCACTGCTTTCCCTGATTTGGCTGAGAAACCTGTTGAATATGGAGGGAAATTTGTTGAGATGTAGAGCAGGGCATGAGAGGTGCAGATGACTCAGTCAGACTTGTGTGTCTGTATGAGAATATCAGCCACCCACCAGCCAACACAAACACACTTATAACACCTTGTGATAGCTTTTAAAGTGGTGACTCTGTAGCAGGTGTGAGTTGTAATGGTTTGTAACCCAGACATCAGTGTGACTCAGTTTTCCACCCTCACAGACGCTTAAGGATTTGATTTTTGGGAGGTTAAACCCCTCAAATATATATCCTCTCATATTATATTATATTATATTATATTTTAATGCAGTTTGTAGTGCAGATTTTCAGCCTGTTCCCTCATAGCATTAAAAATTAACAGAAAGAAACACTGAAACTGAAGGCAGAGAAACCCACAAACAAGCAGCATCTGAAAGTGGCTGATATAAAGGTCTGGCAGAGCATCTCCAGGGTGAAAACACAGCATTTGGTGTTTTGGACATTGAGCTACTGACTGCAAATTTTCTTCCAAGTACAGCAAATGGTTCCTATAATGAAAATTGGGTGACTATGTGTAAAAATAGCTGTAATCGCAAAACCCTTTGAATTAAAGCTGATTTAAAATTCACTGTGTTGAACGATCTCTGCACTGGAATTGTTTGAAACTGAGGCTGCAGAGAAGAACATGGCCTGCAGTTGTAGATGGTGGAATTAAGAGTTCACCTGCAGGATGAGGAATCGACTGCAAAGCAGTTTTTTACCATCAGTTATCATCATAAATTATACTGTTTACTACTTTACTGGAAAAGCGTGGGTGAGCCTCCTTTGGCATGTAAGTGCAGGGCCCTTTTTCCAACTGCCACCACAAATACAATGCGCCTGTGTGGGGTAAGGGTGCTGATATATCTATGATAGGTCAATATCAGTTGATTTATTGATCAGTCACTTTACAGGACCATTACAGATGTCAGAAATATTTGTTTCTTTTAATTAAATTTATCACACAACTTATAAAGTTACCAGTCATTAAAATCAATCCTGTGTAGAGGCCCATAGTATCAGTGCATCATTTGGACATGCTTACTGCCTTTTTCTCCTCCCCTTTTATTGCTGATGTGAGCATCATTTCTGTCCTCTGATGTCTGGACAGAGCACTGTGTTTTCTTTGGCTGCTAATCCTTTTAATGCCAGGTTTCACTCCGCATTATTCAAACCTGCTGCTCACAAACCATCACAGCTTACGTAACTGTGTGTGTGTGTGTGTGAGTGTGAGAGAGAGAGAGAGACTTCAGGCAAAAACACAGTTGGTTTTTATTCATAATGAATTATGAGGTACTGGTTTATTTTGCTTTTATAACATGTCTTCTTTTAGACTAGTGGAAAAATAATGGCTTAAATACATCATGTAGTATTTATTTTCTTGTTCTTTGTCTATTGGATATTCATGCAAATTGAAGCCTGTTGCATATTTAAACAGAAAAGAGAAAAAATTGTAGTAAGTAAATTGAAGGCAACATGCTAGCCACCAAGCTGCCCCACATTGCACCATATTAATGACTAACCCGTGTTGTGAGATCATCTCAGACTTTCTCTTGGCTGAGATTTGGTCCATTTTCAATGTCCTCTCCCTGCCATGTGATGGCATGTTGATGTCTGCTGATTAGGGACTTTAACTTTAGTGATAAAAACGTTTTACTTTTACTTCAAAGGCGAATCTTCTCTTTTTCTGGTTTGCATCACCTTTTCACAGTTTCACTGCTGCTTGGCAAATGTTTGCAGACATTTCAGCATCTAACCTGTAATCCATGGGTAGCTGATCACTGATGTGCCATGCGAAAATATCTTTTTAGCCTCAGTAAACACTTAGCTGTTGAGTTTATTGGCTTAATCACTAATTTTTGATCATATAAATATTTTTTCAAGTTTTTTGTTTTTTGGTCATGCCGTGTTTCAAAATGGAGGATTATCAGTGGTGGTAAACCCCACCCTGATAACTTGTGGTTGTCTGCTCATTAGCACCCACCCTTCCTCGTCACATACATTCCTCGCAAAAATGCTCAACTTAAGGCGTCAACAAGAGACTTCAGAAACAGTGGCTGATGTCCGTAGTATCTCTCTCCATTTTGTATATGGTCTATAACTAAACCTCACGAGTCATCTTTGTCATGGATGTCTGGATGTTAATGTTGCAGACCATTTATAATTTTCAGTCATTTGTTTGGGAACTGAAGGACATAGGTACTGACATTATACTTAATGAGCAGGTTTGGTGGCAGTAAAGGTGACATTGTACAATTCAATTTGCTTAGCTAAAAAGTTATTGCGAATACAAGTCGTCAAACTGAATATTCTTTATATTTGAAACATGCATTCCTTTGTGCCTCTCTCCCTTCTCGCCGTATGACTCAGTGAGAGTACTAATGCAGAGGCGGTGGATCTAGGCCATTCCAGTCCCCATGTCTCTGGCCGACTCTCTCCCTCCTCCTTTGCCTCTCCCCTCATGTGTGACTTTTAATTTAGAGTGAGGACTGAGGACTTGCTGCTGTCAGCCCAAATGTTCGAAAAGCCCGTCCCTCTGTCACGTATGGATGCCAAAATGACCACTCATCATTCCTCCCTGCTTCTCTGACTGACTCACTCAGTAGCTCTCTGTCATTTTCCATAGTCAGGGTGTCACAGTGGAAAAACCACTGCCAGGACTTACTGGTAAAGTCTGTGTGTGCTCCCCACTATCAAACTACAGCACAGCCAAAAGCCTTTACA